CCTCTTACAAACTGGCCTTGGACGAAATCATGTATGATGAGAAGTGTTTGGATGTCTGGAAAGCCAGGATGGCCAGCCATGATATCAGGGTTGCCCAATTGAGGGACCAATGGATGCGCAAGAGGCTAGATCAGGCAAAAAATGCAGTTCAGAAATGGATGGAGCAGAATGCTACTTAGCCACCTTTAGCACAACAATAGCAATCAGACCCTTGTTCCCCACCCCCTGCAACCAGCCCATTGTTCTGAGTCTGAGGTTGATATCAACATGTGGCCAGCGAAGTTTGACCCGGGATCTGCCCTCCACATGATGAAAGCCTTGGAAGATACTTCAGAACGATGGCTTCGAGCACTGAAATGCCGAAACGTGGTACCTAAGTTCACAATTGTGAGTGATTGGAACCCGATGAACAAGGACACCCTTTCCTTCTTTCCTGAGGCTGTCCTCTTCCTGTGCAACTATGCATCCCCGAGCTTGATCAAGGCAGACATCAGCACTTCCACCTTCAAGATGCTGGGGCACTTGCTGGGATCGAAATTTGGAACACATGCCCTTGGAGTTTTGATTTGCCCAGTTTACTCCTACAAGCAGCACCAGCTCTTCATGGAAGAACACGTTTTGCTCAAACAGTTGAGTAATGCGTCCTGCTCCGTGGACACAATGTTCCAATTGAATTTTGACATGAAGTCAAAAACGGATTCTCACATGCACTTAATGAACCCTATTTTTTGTGCAGGGGCCCGCTATTTCAAATAGGAACCGGCTGAGGACCAGCGTGATCAGCGACCTATGGCTTATGGTGGGCGCCTGTTGACTCCTACTGCGACTGCTGTGTCAAACGAAGAGGGCAAGACAACATGGGTGTGGCGGGACTCCTCCCTTTACAAAATGCGCCGCAATGTGGAAGAAGCAAAACAACTCCCAGCCAAGCACATGATCATGCAGGAAGATATTGACCCCAAATCCCTTCCTTCTTCAGACCTTGGACACCTGCATGGGGCACAAAAATATGCCCAATTGGGAGCTGATGCAGCACACAAGCTCTTGAAGTCGGCCCTCGAACCCTGGTTGTGATTCACACTGTGTGTTTCTATGTGAACATGTGTGAGAACTGAAACTTGTTGGTTTCCTGAGCATGGGGTGAACATTGGCAATCACACTGGGGTCCTGATTGTTGACACTACCCCCTTGGTGGGCAACTTCTTTGAGGGCTTTCTGCTGCAGTCCAATGACAGCAACTTTCCGATGAAGTACTGCCCCCTCTTTGCGGACTCAGAGCACCAGGAGTGGTTTGAGATGTATTTCCAACAGGAGCTCATCAAACGGTTTCAGCAGGGTGAACTCAAGATTCCAGGGCTGACCAGGCTGGCTGGGTCATATGGTTTCCAATGATGTGTTGTTTTATGTTTCTGAATGGAGCCCTGTTGCTCATGCTAGGCTTGGATTGGAACCTCCCCCGGAGCACATGGAAAGCAGACCTGAGCCTCCTCAACTGAAGCGCTGCGTTTGGGGCAAGGCAGGGGAAGAAGAGCATTGTGAATTTGGAAACAAACTTGTCTGAGATGTCAGGTCAATGGTGAGATCCAGACTATTGAGCTGCCAGAGGCAGAGGTCCAGAAATGGTGGGCCAAAGATGAGTGGCAAATGTTTGTGCAGGAGTTCAAAGATCGCCACCCCCCGGCGAAAGCACTTGAAGGGGAACCAAAGAAAAAAGGTGCTCCTACTTCTACTCCTCGCCCCGTGAGTCTGAAGAAACGGCCGGCCTCTGTGGACTTGAGCAAGTACATTGTGGCCGACGCAGATTCGCCTGGCTCCACGAAGATCATGGAAATTCCCGTGTTGAATACCAGAATCCCTGCTGGTGCCAAAGACAAACAGATGCCCCTTCTTATTGTGACTGACACGGGCCCATACATCAAGAATTCCTCTGACCATCCCGTTTCCTGCCTGAATGTGTTTGGGTTTGGTTGGGGCCAGTGAATCTGATTCTACATAAAAGCTTGCCAATCTGAGGTGACATTCTTGAAGGGGTCAGTGTTGGCTGGATTTGGAAAAGGGCGATTCCGAGAAGGCAACCAAAACAACCCGGTGACCGACAAGGAGTTGGAGTTCCATTGCGATGAGCATGGCTATGGAATTTTGGATGGGAAATTCCTTTCCTGGCCTGAGCTGTTGGAGTTGCAAAAGAAAGACCGGCCCAACTGTGTCAAGATCTGCTACCACCAGTGTGAACAGCAACCTGATGGGTCATGGAAGCTTGAGCAGGACAGGCCAACCATGTGCTTGACAAGTGAGCTGGCAAGTTGAAAACTACATAAGCATGCTGAAAACAACATGGCAATGGTTGCTTGTTTGCCTGAGCCGAATAAAACACATGTACTTGGAAGGACCCGTCGCTTGTCTGCAGGAGCACTCCGTGATCTTTGCGCCCCAGCCAGAGGACAAAGACCTGAAAATGAACCAAGCTCATGTGGCCAAACTGGGGGCTGTGAATGTTTGG